CAAGTGCTCGGTTACAACCTCTCCCTAGGCACGTCAACCGACGCCACTCCTCTTGGGACGATCCCCGACTCTCACCACACACTCCTCACTCGGTGTACAAGTGTATTACAAAGTGATTTCACAATTAAGCACAATATAGCAAATGATTGTTCTCTCTAACAAGGTGAGAACTCAATTACTAGAATTGAGTTTAAGGAAACTTCTCTATAGATGACAAGATAGAGGGAGAAGAATGAATGCTCAAACACCAAGGATGATCTCCACTTGCTCTTGTGAAATTGAATTCACAAACTCAAACCCTCAATTGCTTAAAAGCTTCTTAAACCAACCTTAAACAAACACTAAATAAGTTTAAACCCTTGTTAAACTATTTTAAAACATTCTCTTGTTTTTTGAAAGAAAACAGCAAAGGGGTATTTATACCCACTCCAAAACTCAGCCAAAAACTCAAAACCGAAAGACCAAAAGGCCCCCAGAAAAACCAGCTCAGAAATAGCCGTTGAAGTCTAACGGCTCTATTGGCGACGTTCGGTCGACCGAAAGAAGGAATTCGGTCGACCGACGGAAAATCCGGTCGACCGTGAGCAGGTTTGAAAAATGAAGAAACAAACAGAGACATCGTCGGTCGACCGGTGCGGTCGACCGATAAAAAATCAAGCTTTGCTGACGAAAGAACAAACGCGCGGTCGACCAGTGCGGTCGACCGAATACTGATACTTCTGAAAAACAGTTTTGAAAGCTGTATATCTGATTTTGAAACACTGTTTAAAAATATCAAATAAATTCCAAAAAATGTAAAACTTTGGGGAATGATTGTAGACATGATAATAAACATGCTACAATGACTGGTTTTCAAAAAAGGACTTCCCAAATAAAAAATATCATCATTTTACAAAATAGTCCAAAACATAAAAATATGAGGTACTTGAATTTTGATGTTTTGACATAAACCAACTTTTGAAACTTTGTGAAATGTTTTTATAGACTTAGTAAAACATGTATAAACTGATATTGAAGTCTACAAACTAAGTATACAATATTTTCACAAATACAATAGAAAATGAAACCTATGAGTATGTATATGAAAATATATTTGTTTCATATCTATGTAGATAAACCAAATCACAATAATAAATATGAAACATGTAATTTCATATTTATAAACATTAAAACCAAAACTTGTGTTGTATATATATGTGATTACATATATATACAAGGAAACTAATAAAATGTGTGTGTGTAGATAATTGAGCTTAGAGTACTTAACACACATAATATAAACCTATACTAAATTACCCAAGCTTGATCTTGATCTTCATTGAGCTCAACTTGGTACACGTTACGGATGAAGCTAAACTTGGATCTTGAACTTGAATTGTACGATGATTCACTCCACAATTCCGCCAACCTCCATTTGATATGATCGTTATGGCGCAATCCATCCATCCTCCAACAACGTTGTTTGTCTACAATACATAGGAATGCACAAACACTAGATAAATAACATTAGTATAAATTGTTTGTAAATCATCATCAAAACAAGAAGGCCAACATTAGGCACTAAGAAAAGAGCGAACAATATTTGCAAGAAAGTTTTTTTAGCTGCTAATATCAGTAACATTCTTTCAAAACCCATGGCCCTGGATCCATGTAATTCACTATTTCATGTGTCATAGGAAATATCTTTATTGATAAGTCACTTCTAGACTTATGGGCTAATATAAATCATCTTTTTTATTAAGTTTATTAATAGAGAGTATAAAAATTAAAACCAACTAAATGTACCATCTAGTTAGTTAATAGACTATAAAGTCACCCAAGGGAGAGATACAATATATCATAATTAAGGTTAGGATTTTGTATTTCCTATTGATTTCATAGTCTCACAAACGTAGCCCATTTTCAATGTCAAGGGTCAAATTTCGGTCATTTTAAGAAGACCATTTTTATCCACTTTAAATATTTTAATCAATTATAGAACCAATCAAGTAAAGTTATCTTTTGGGAGTATGACTATATATCTCTACATTTTCAATCTAGAGAACCAACAAATGATCAATTAGATCAACATTTAGAATTGAACTTCATTTAGAGAACATCAAGCGAATAGTTAGAAAAAGAATGTGAGTCAGAGATTACTTTTGAGGACTATTTGGTGGGAAATTGAAGAAGAAAATGGAGAATCAAATTTGTATTATTCTCTCTAATAGACTTAGAAAAAAATTAATTACAATTCTCTCAATGCAATCTTTCTCTAACTAGCTTAGGAAAAAAATTACAATCTTCTTGATCGGTTTCTCGATTTACAAAAGAGAGAAGGGATCGACAGAGACCATTCCCTTTGTTTAACCTGGGTTCTTCTTGGTATCAATGGAATGCCTCCCTCAATGTTCGTGTCAAGTTTGCTTTTTATTGATGATCTGATTGCTTCACCTTGTGGAACGTTGTCTTCGCCTCTTGATTTGAAGTCTTGGACGAACTTGCGTGGCAAGTTTGAAACTATTAACAAGTTTGAGAGCTCAGAACAAGTTTTGAAAGAACTCTCTGAAAGAGTTGATTGATTTAACCGAAATTGGTTTGTAATCCAAGATTGATGAAAGCTCCAAGGGACCCGACCTTCATTAAGATGAAATTTTAGCTATTTATAGGAGATTAAGGGGTGTAACCTCCCCCTTAATCCACTCCTAAATAGGGCAAAAATCCCTCAAATAGTAGGGAGAAAATGGTTTTTGAAACCGTTCAACTCGTGTTTGAACGAGTCAAACGCAGGTCCTGCGTTGCTAGGCACGAATTCTGCGTTCGAACACAGGGTTGGGAAGCTGCATTTACAACGTCTGAAAGATGCTTTGGCAACGTCTGGAAGCTGCATTGGCAGCGTCTGGAAGCTGCATTGGCAGTGTCTGGAAGCTGCATTGGCAGCGTCTGGAAGCTGCGTTAACAACTAGATTTGAGCTGCATTTGTGGTTGGGTTTAAGCTGCGTTTGTGGTTGGGTTTGAGCTGCGTTTGTGGCTGGTTTGAGCTATGTTTACAGCTAGATTACGCAGTGGTTGCGTTGTTTTGACTCTAGAACATAGAACCGAGCCTTAAGCAAGCTTGGCAAGCTTCAGACAAAGCCTAATATTCAGACGAAGTCCAGCCTTGCAAACGGACTTCAGAACATAACTTGTTGTGAAGAACAGGTCATAACTTTCAAACCATAAGTCGGAATTGGACGAATTATATATGAAAATTGACTATCTCAACGAGACGAAGCCAACCAAATCCACCTAAAGGGTTTAGTTTGCTCTCGTCCATTTTACCAAATTCCTTACGGTTTGAGAGATATCTGTGTTTTGATTTGAAGAGACCGTCAATTTGTAATCTCTTTTCCTAGAGCGTTGCAAAGATCATCACTTTGTAATCTTCGTCTTGGCTTCTTAAAAATATGAAAGTCATCAGATTGTAACTCCTAATGTTGATTGTGAAGGCTGTTGAATTAGAGCTTTCATCGGTTGTTGTGAAGGTTGTTAGCTTGTAACCTTCATCGATCTACGTGAAAGTTTTTAAATTGTAGTCTTCTGAAAGCCGTCAAATTGTAACTTCTATTATTGGTGTTTGATGGGGATCAACTATCTACAGTAATTTTTAGACAGCCTTCATGGACATCTTTGATGAAGAAATCAAAATGTTAGAGGAGTCAGAAGCAGCACAAATCTTTAAGAAGAAAAGCACCGAGTTAGACGCAAGTTTTATCAATCTCAACTTCGAAGAACTCTTTGTTTATAAATTTAGGTTCCTAGAAATTATGGAACAGTCAGCCTATCATTCCTCAACCATGAATGAACCTTGGATTTAAAGAAAGTTTTAAAGAAGAGCTAGGACAAACTTTCGTTCACGTGGAACCTAAGTTCAAATCTAAGACTATTTTTTTAATTGATCATAAACTAAAATTCAAGAGGCATGACCCTTTACCAAACTGCCATCAAATAATGCAGCAATTATTGAAAACATCAGAGAGTATGGAATTTAAGCATATCATAGGCTTTATAATTTAAGACTTCCTAAAAATTTGAGGTAGATTTTTTAGCAATAAGGTAAGAACTAATGTAAAATATGAATTTTTAATTTATAACCCTTTATTCTACATCTTTACTCTTTTCTCCTTTAGTGAGTCACTTTTTCTTTCATTAAAAAATAAAAAAAGTAGAAAAATGAGAAAAAAATAATAATG